CATTCTTCTAGACTCCAGTGAACAGTTGTCTCCTCCAGGTGGTTTTGTTTGACATCCCAGGCTGGATGTCTCCGTGCTGCACTCCTTCATCAGTGGCACATGCATTCATGTTTGTCACTGCACTTAATGAACCCAAAATCATGGTTCCCACCTTCAGGATGCTCACAGGCTTGTGGCAGATGCACCGTGTTCTCTTATAATTGCCCTTTGCTGCAGTGTCCCCCTAGGGTGGCTAACACCACCCTGGGTGCTGAAGGGCTAAGTGCTGAGAGTGAAGGCACGGGGGCAGCAGAGGGTAAGAAGGCAGTGGAGAGACGCAAGGGGTGTGGGGGCGGGGGGGGGGGCAGCGCTGGCACTGTCTGCGATGCGGGAGGAGGCCGGCCTGCAAGGCAGCCTCAAGGGTTATACGAAGGGGATTGCACTCTATCCCGAGGGCACCAGGGAGCCTCCGAGGGGCTTTAAACAAGGGGAAGACATGGCTGGCCATATGTCCTCGAAGGATCCTGCTGGCCACCCTATGGGAAATATTCTGGAGAGGCAAGGCTAGAGTCAAACGGTCCAGTGAGGGGCTTTGGGTGTGACCCAAGAAAGGGCTGATGGTGTGGCCATGTGGATGGGAGAGGGGCAGGTGGCTTCTACTTCCTGTGGCGATGAGAGAGAGCTGGGCCGAAATCCTGGCTCCCCCTCCCTGGCTAGGGACTGTGGCCACCAACGTCACGGCATCATTGTCAGAATCAACGAGGGAGTAAGGGTTTGGGTAGTACTATGCCAGACACGTCCTGGCGGTAAACTGGTGCTGTCGGAGGTCAGGGGGAGCTAATCAAGGATGACTCTTGCCCTGGCTGGTGTGGCTCAGTGGTGTGCGTGCTGTGAGTGCAGGCTGGCAAACCCAAATGTTGCCTGTTCGATTTCCCCAGTCAGGGCACATGCCTGGGTTACAGGCCAGATCCCCAGTTGGGAGTGTGTGAGAGGCAACTGATCCGTGTTTCTTTCCCTCTCTTTCTCTCTCCCTTCCCCTCTTTCTAAAAATAGATAAAATCTTAAAAAAAAAAAAAAAAACGGATGACTCTGGGATTTCTGGTTTAAAGAAGTAGATACAAAAGTCAGAAATGACTCAACGACGGGCAAGTCAGGTCTTGAGGTGGGTGGAAGGAAGGCCTACTTGGGATCGGTGCCTGGAGCTACATTCAGGCCCTCCCATCTGAGCCGTGGCCTGCTCCAAATCCTGGCCCTCACCCCATGGGCAGGGCAGGGTGGGTCCAGCATAGGCAGTCACAAAGGGTGGTACTGACTAGAAGAAACAACAGCCTAACTATGTGAAAGGCGAGGCCCAATCAGTGGTGCTCTGTATGCCACCTTACCATCTGGGACCTGAGCTCACAGACGTGCCAGGGCTTGGCCTCCTGGGCACTGAGAGCCAGGAGGTATAGACGGTGATGCTGAAACGCCTCCTCCTCCTTCGAGGTTCCACTCACATGCTACCTGCTCCATATCACCTCTCCTGGCTCCCCAGCTAGAAGCAACCCCTCTCCACTCTGGGTTCCTGGAACCTCCACACTCTGAGCACCGGCGTGGGGGCTGTGCCTGGCCTCGGGCCCCACCCCCGCAGGTGCTCACTGCCAAGTGTGCAGCTCTGTGCCCCGCCCCCCTTCCCCTGCGAGCAGCCAGCACAAGCCCAGGGCTAGTCGGGAACTCAGGGCTCGGCTCTCCTGGTCCGAGCCCGCAGAGGAATTGCAGCCCTTCTGCTGAAAAGTCCAAATGCGAGGCAGAAGAAAGGACTCATGACACACCAGGGGCTGCATGCAGGGAGCCACAGATGGACACCGTTAATAAAGTATTTTTTAATCATTTATTAAAATCTTTAGAGTTATCACTTGGAGGCAGGCAGGTGTACTTTTCCAGAGTAGTTTCACACACACACAAGTGTATTTGGAGACACTCTATGAGCCAGGGGGAGATGTTTCCAGAGAGTCTGCTAGCCAGAGACATGTATGTTCCATTGGGGCTTGGGAGATGCTCTCCTACACGGAGGTGGGTAGTCACCAGGTACTGTCCCCTCTGGCCCCTACTAGGGAGAGGCTGACTGAGGCAGGGCAGTGTCTGCCTCCAGGCCTCCCCCAAGCTCTCTTCTAAGGCTGTGCATTCCTCTGGGGCAGGCTGGCTGTGAAGAACAAGGGTCGTGGGGATATAAAAGGCCCCGGTCAGTCCAAAGAAAGGGCTACCTCGCCACCTGAGAGTGGCCCTCTCAGCCAGCACCACCTCCTCCCCACCCAAGGCCACTGACGCAGCCCAGCACCCCCCGCCTGGCTTCAGCTAGCCTCCCCTGCCCTCCTCAGTCACAGGAGGGCACAGGGCATCTCATCAGATGGGCCTGGAAGCTGGCCATCATCCACTCCCCAGCACTCCCACATACAGCGGACCCACGTGCAAACAGGCACACACGTGCACATCTACACGAAGACACATACCACCCACTGACCTCCGCATGTGCACACAAATGCAAACATGGCAAGGTCATGTTCAAACACAGTCACTCCAAGTGCACATGCATACACTCCATAGACAAAATGCAGTGGTAGCAGGGACAAGGGAGGGAGCATGGAAGGGCACAGGCCATGCCTTTTCATACCTTCCTCCTCCACCTGTAAAATACCATGTGTCCTGCAAAATTCAGATCAGCAATGCCACCTCCCCCATGAAGGCCTCCCCAATTTCCCGCCAGAGCACTGAGTCCTCCCTCCTGTGCCATCCCCTGGCTCTCTCTCCTCCATCTGATCTTTGCCACATTCTGCCTCCACCCATTACAGTTTCCTGAAAAAATAGCTGGTGTGTATCCTCTGCACTTTATCTTTTGCCCATTCCCTTAGACTCTTGCTGGAATGAAGATGTGGTAACTGAAGCTGTGGCTACCATCTTGGACCACTGGGTGAGGGCCACACATCTTAGAGAGGGTGGAGTCACAGGCTGGAAGGACCTGCCTGAGCACTTTGTGGGCCAGAAATGCCATGCCAGTCCTGCACTGCCTATCTCCAGATTTTTATGTGAAAGAAATAGATTTTATTTTGGTGGAGCCAATTATTTTGAGTCTCTATTACTCGCAGGCAAGCCCAATTGTAACTGAGAGACTGGGAATTATTTCCAGCTCCTTTTCCACTTCTCCCTGCATCTTTTCACCAAACCCTTTGGATTCTACCTCCTTGATATGCCCCAGATCTGTAAACTTTTCTTCATCACTGCTACTTCTACCTGCACTCCAACTTTCAGAATTTCTTGCCTGGGTTACTGTGTCAGCCTTCTTTGTACCTAGTCTCCCTACCTCTTAGGCTCATCCTTTCGTTCAGACCAGTAACTCAAATTAGCTTTCTTACGGGAAAAGTTAAACATATACATTACGGAGAGCAACATAACAAATACCCACATCCAGAATGGAGACAAAAAGTGTTAATATTTGTAATTTTTTATGAAGCAAAGATGACAAAGTTGTGTCGTTCCCTCCAGCAAGGGCCCTCTCTTGCCCTCCTGATCCCATACTAAACTGCATCCCTAGTACCTTTTTCAAGTTTTCACGTGCCTTTATGAGTGAATGTATGGTATGGTTTTGTGTATTTTAAATTTTTATCTAAATCATGCCATATTATACCTATACTTCTGCAACTTGCTTTTTTATATGTTTTTGAGGTCTATCCATGTTGACACCTCTAAACTGAGTTCATTCATGTCCATAGCTCTATAACGCTCCATCATGTGACTGTAACAACACATCTCTCTGTTCCCCTGATGGACAATTAGGCAATAAACAATGCTTCGCTGACATCCTTACACATGTGAGAAGTCCCTAGGGTCTATATCTGGTATTATAATTGCAAGGTCTAAATGACAGTGAATGTTATGGATCGAAATGCATCTCCCCGAAAAGATATGCTGAAGTTCCAACCCCAGTTACCTACGAATGTGACTTATTTGCAAAGAGGGTCTTTGCAGGTACAATCAAATTAAGGTGAAGCCATTAATGTGGGCCCTGATATGACTGATGTCCTTTTAAGAAGAGAAGAGACACACAAGGAGAGAACGCCATTGAAGATGGAGACAGAGATTGGAGTGATGTGTCAACAAGCTAAAGAATTGCGAAGGACTACTGACAACTGCCAGAAGCTAGAAGAGAGGCCTAGAACAGAGCAAGTCTCAGAGACTCCAGAAGGAACAAACCCTGCAGACACCTTGATTTTGGACTTGTAGACTCCAGTACTGTGAAAGGAGAAATTTTTGTTATTTTAAACCATCTAGTTCTTGGTAACTTGTAGGAAATGTGTACGGCAGCTGTGGGAAACGTGAAGTGGAAAGTTGTGGACCGTGGGAGCATAAGATGAGGTCACAGGGAGGACATATAAACTGGAAGGGGCGCCCGGCAGTGTGATGCCACAGAGCGTAAAGTAAATCAACAAGGGTCACGGTTCTGTTCGGGCTTTAAAGTGCCAGAGAAATGGCCGGTGTTTGTTTGAATTATTCAGTTTCTAGAATCTCAAATTCATTTGCTTTGTCCTTTAAAGGTGACTAATTCCCTTTCACGCACACCTGCAATAATTCGACAAACACAGATTTGTCATTAGAAACCACGGGTTATTTTGTGCTTTCTAAACCAGGACGTTTTTAGACGTGATCGCTAAACTCACTTAATCCTCCCAAGTGCCCGCACGAGGCAGGAACGAGCCAGAAATGTTATCTTCACGGCTGGGATAGGGAACATTCAGCAAGGTGAGATGATTTGCACTTGGTGTAACATCCGACTGAAGGTCTAGGGTCGGCCACCGTGTTACTGGCTTGAGGACGTAAGCAAATTACTTCACCTACATCAGCCTACCTTTTCCCATCTTTCAAAATGCTATACTAGCCGCTACCGCTTCCGCGCAACCCGTCGTGATTAAATTGGCAGTGTCGTCACCCTTTTCTGGGACCACGTGGCCCCAGCGGTGCAGACTCGCCGGCTGGCCGACCACTCGCTCCAGCCGCCAGGGTCCGCTGTGACGCGGATCGGGCCTGGCTGCTCTAGCCTCACCCGGGGAAGTCGCTGTCCTTACCTTCAGCAGGAGCCCGCGCCTCGGAGTCTGCGCCCGCCGGCTCTCCGCTCTGTCTGCAGCCACCCACTGCCTGCTTGCCGCCCACCATGGCCCTGCTGCACTCCAGCCGCGTCCTATCCGGGGTCGCCGCCGCCTTCCACCCAGGCCTCGCGGCCGTGGCTTCTGCCAGAGCCAGGTAAGCAGGGGAGTGGGAACCGGGAAGATGGGCCTGTCCCCGGAGCTACGGACACCGCCAAAATACACACACACACACACACACACACACTCACTCACTCACTCACTCACTCACAGTTGCACACACTTTCTCGGATTGAGCGGCCGCGCCTCACAATGACCCCCAGTGTCCTACATCTCCCCCTCCCCTGTCCCCAAGACCTCGGGAGAGCGTGCCAACGCGCTCCCCCAGGGTAGGAAGTATGGCCCTCTCCGGCACCCGGACTTCCATTCAAGGTGGGGGTCACGGTGAAGGGGGGGCGTTAGGGGCTCAGAGAGAGCCCGCAGCTGCGGCGCCGGGCAGACGTCGCTTCCATTGGCTGCGGGGCCAGGGATGCCTCGCTCCCGTTGGCTGCAGCGCGTCTCGAGGGGTGGGGGGTGGACCGCGTGCGCCACGTGAGTGCCCTTGACAGGCTACCCTGGGGGGCTGCGGAGCTCACCTGTCGTGGCCCCCCTGGGGCCTGACCGGGCTTGGCTGGCCGTCGGCTAGCGGCCATTAGTGTGCCCGGGAGAAGGAAGCGCGTGGGGAGAAGGTACCAGCGTGGGACTCTGGCATTGAGGCCCGGCTATCCTTCCTGCATCTCGTGACCTTGGCGCACGGCATCTTCCCGCCAGGGTTACCGCCTGAGTCACCAGTGATTCCGCCCCTCCAACTCTGCCGTTCGGCCTTTGGATAAAGGAGAGTTGGAGTGCAGCGCACCTAGGCTCTAGGAAAGTGGCTGTTCTTCTCTCCATCTCACTCTAATCTTTCACTTAGTAAATATTTAATCACCCGAGTCTCACAGAGGCAGGCACTGGACCAGATGCTGGTGATAGGCACGGCTGAGAAAGGTGTCACTCAGACAGCTGCAAATATATTATTTTAAACTGTGTGAAAAGTGTTGGCAAAGGAAAAAGTACGGCATATTACACTAATTAATTCCTTTTTAGTAGAGACCTGAGCCAGGCAATTTAATTCACTCAAGAAGCTGATTGGGGACAGTGTCTTAAATGCTCCCTAATCAGGAACCAAGTCTCCACAACCAGATATTAACTCCAAGGAGCAAAGCCTTTATTTCTTTTCCATGCCTTGGCTTTTTGTTTGAATGTTTGTATGATACCTTCAAGCCCGCTGAACAATTTGACCTTTACAAAGCCCTGCATTCTTGGCAGTATTTTTCCCAGGCCTTTACACTTTAACTCCTTGATTTGGTTTCTTCTTGGCTCAGTATCAAGCTGTGCTCTTTAAGTCAGCCTACCTACTGGACCAGAATTTGGGAGGGGTTATTATTAATGCAGCAAATGTGGAGAACAGAAAAGAGTGCCTAAAATTGTGGGCAAGAGAACGTTAGTTTCACCATTGTAGTCATAGTAAAATGATCCATTATACATTTTGGCTGGGTGATCTACAGCTCTACTTATAGTACTTGCTGAAAATCCCTATGGGTGTGACCTTTTAGTCATGCTTTCGGTTTGGGGGACTGACTTCTTCTTTTCTTTTTCCCATTAGAATGTGAATTTCATGAAAGCAGAGACCAGACCTACTTGGTTCATTGTTATATTTTGGCAGTTAAAACAGTGCCATTTTACTACTGTATCTTACATCATAGTCTGAACTCGGGGGAACTGCAGTTGCAAAATGTGTACAAAAAATAGTCTTAGCCTCGGCTGGGTGCTCAGTTAAATCGTGGTGGCAGTAAGCCAAGGTTGCGGGTTTGATCACAGGTGAGGGCATGGCCAAGAATTAATCAATGAATGCATGGGTGGAACAACAAATCGATGTTTTACACTCTCTTTTCCTTCCTCTCTCACTCTACAACCAATGAATTTTAAAGAAGAAGAAAAAGGAAATCTTACCTTTAAAAAAATATATAGTCTTAAAATATTTGAGCACCTGCAGTTGAGGTACTATTCAGATTTAAACAATGACACGTGATAAGGTGCTAGAACCAGATGCCATATCTGGCTATGATTGTTAGGTGTTCAAAAAACAAGGAAGAAAGAACCCTCACTCCCACCACTGTAGAAGTGTTCTTTACCTAAAAAAGCCAGATGTTAAAAGTGCAAAACATTTAAAATAACTCACTGAAGTTTCTTTTTTAAAAAATAAAAAAGTTTATTTTTTTATAAATACAATAAAGGGCTAATAAAGCCCTGGCAGTTGGTATTCTGACAAACTGAGGGTTTATCCTATGAAATACTTAATGTTCATACTTAGGTCATTTAAATGGAAATCTCTTAAGTTCAAGTGTTCTGTTTCACTGCATTTAGAAAACAGCAATAAACGTTTAGCCTTTTCTTGTTGACCTGTTCTATAAAAGCATAGTAACATTAAACCAGACATAGTCATAGATCAATGAAGAAAGAAAATATGATGCTCTATTTTGATTTATAATGACCTGTTCTTAATTAATTCTGATTATTTAATTTTTAGTGAATTAACTGAAAGAGTTTCATGAGACTATTTAGAAAGTCACTGTGCATTAGTGGTACAATGAGCAGCAATGAGAACATCAAAATTGGAGGGTGGTTTTTCTTTTTTCAGTTAGAGTTGACATTCAGTATTATCTTAGTTTAGCCCTGGCTGGTATGGCTCAGTGGACTGAGCACGAGTCTGCGAACCGAGGCGTCACTGGTTCAATTCCCAGGCAGGGGACATGACTGGGATGCTGGCCAGGTCCCTCACTGGGGGTGTGCCAGAGGCAACCGATCGATATTTCTCTCCCCCCGCCGTCCCCTCTCTCTCTAAAAATAAGTAAGTAAATCTTTTCCAAAAAAATGCTAGTTTCAAGTGTACCACATAGTGGTTAGACATTGGTATAACTAACAAAGTGATTCCCCCCGCCATAAGTCTAGTACCTGCCTGACACCATAAACAGTCATTGCAATATAATATTGACTTATGTTCCCTCTGCTGTACTTTATTTGACATCCCCGCTACTCAAAAATGTAGAGTTGTGTTTGCTGTTTTTAGCTCTGTGGTCATGAGCAAGTTAATTAACTTCTCTTATGATAAAATAAGAATGTGAGGGAAAGTACTAGTTAGGCCCCCAGGGAAACTGCAAGGCATTTGAATTGAAAATACTTATCTGAATACATTGTACCTAACGTCTTTTGTTGGTCAGTGTTGCTCAGTGGCGGAGGCTTTGAGTTTATGTCCAAAGTCCATTGAAAGGAATCACTCTGTAGGCCACTGGTTGTCCACATGAACTTTGTCCTTAGAGCCAGGTTGTTTTTATCTAGTACTATCTCTTTGAGGACTTTATTTTTAGAGAGATGGGAAAGGAGAAAGAGAAACACAGACATGTGAGGGAATACATCGACCAGTTGCCTCTTGCACAGCGCCAACCGGGGACCTAGCCTACAACCCAGGCATGTGCCCTGACTGGGAATCGAACTGGCAACCCATTGGTTTGCAGGACGGCACTCAATCCACTGAGCCACACCAGCCAGGGCTCTCGTAGTATCTCTTTAAAAACATTAGAATCCTTACAGTGTGGCAGAGTCTTTACCCTTTTATGGAATGGAATAATGAAGGGCATGCCGGACCTGAACGAGATTACTGATGTAGAACTAATCCAGCTGCATATCCCTGCTCCCATATTGAGAATTTTGAGATTCAGTATTTTCAAGCTGCTTTTAGAATTCTTCTTAAAAGATACTGCTCTCCATTATATCCCTGCCAGAAGACTCAAGGCTGTTTCTGAGAGAATTTCTACGCCAGATAAACTTTTTGAAGAACGTGACAAATAAGTGTTCTTCCCAGCATTTTAACAAGGATGCCTTCTGTCCTTGTGGTTCGGGTCAGCGCCTGTGTCATCACTGATTGACAACCTTGGAGACAGAGCCATCTTTTCAAAACTGAGAATTGCTTACTAGAAGCTTTCTATCATAGGTCCCTGACATTCAGAGTTTTCCTTTTACTCATCAGCTAACGACAGTGATGTCGATAGGCAGGTGGCTCCGTGTTTTCAGGGTCCGAACTTTGGGTAGGAAATAACGAAAGCTTTCTTCAGGCCCAGTTCCGAAGTTGCTTCTGAGGTATCTGTTTCTTACTGTTGCTGAGATACTGGAAGAACCAGGAAGTCCAGAACAATGAAAAAAGGAGAAGGGCTCTGAGTTCTGGCAGTAGAACTATTGAGGAGGAAGAATGATAATATCTCCCGAAACTCTAGAAAAAACTAAGTAGTAATAATTGAAAAACAGGAAAGACCTGTATTTGGTCATAAAGACTTACGACCATGTGCTCCTTGAATTCTCTCCATGCTTGCCTCACCAGGCCTCATGCTAGTGGCACAGTGGTTATAAGTAAGAGTGTAGCCCTGGCTGGTGTGGCTCAGTGGATGGAGTGCCAGCCTGCGAAGCATAAGGGTCACCAGTTCGATTCCCAGTCCGGGCACAAGCCTGGGCTGCAGGCCAGGTCCCTGGTGGGGGGCACCTGAGAGCCAACCACACACTGATGTTTCTCTCTCTCTCTCTCTCTCTCTCTCTCTCTCTCTCCCCCCCCGCCTCTCCCTCTCCTTCCCTCTCCCTCCCCCTCTCTCTAAAAATAAATAAATAAATTTTTAAAAATAAATACGAGCGTAGTGTGATCATTTACAGACCGGCTCTAAAAATACAAGTATATTCATGTCATTCCCCCTACCTGATCACCAACACCTACCCACCCCCGTCCCCACAAAAAGTAAGAACTCTACATATTTTCACTATATCTGAGGTTGGGCCAAGGAAATTATTTTGAACAAGCTCTGCAAATGATGTCCGTAGCAAGTTTAGGACCAGGATCAAAACCCAAGCCCCTTGGCGTGGATGGGGGCAGGGCGTGAGTTGTCGCATTATCCTCTTACACTGTCCCTTGCTTGCTTCTCTAGTTTCATCTTTTACCACTCTCAGCTTCTCACTGCCAAATTGCTTGAAATGTTCTTTGCCCGGAATCCACGTCAGGTTTGGACTGCTTTGCAAGCCTGCGCATGCATCCTGCCCTCCCCAAGGTGATTCTGAGAGGTGCCTCCTCCTGCTTCTTGCAGGATGTGTGTGGAAACTATGGTTCTTCTCCACCCTTCTGGGAGGTGCTCGGAAGCCTTACGCATTACTGAATTATGGTGCCTATTGCTTTGCCATGTTCACAGTAAACATGCAACCATTTGTTGACATGGATCTGTGGCAGATCCGAGATGTCTCTGGCCATGGAAATCTTGCTTCTGTAACTGATGTCTTATATTTCCCGTTTCAGCTCCTGGTGGGCCCATGTGGAGATGGGCCCCCCAGATCCCATCCTGGGGGTCACAGAAGCCTTCAAAAGAGACACCAACAGCAAAAAGATGAACCTGGGAGTTGGTGCCTACCGGGACGATAATGGAAAGCCGTACGTGCTCCCTAGCATCCGGAAGGTGAGTGTGCCGTCTGCCTCCCGCCCGCTGGGATGAAGAAACGGGAGGGAGCTCCCGGAGAGCGGCAGAAAGGCTGCTGGACCAGGGGTCAAGAGACCGCGCTTCAGGTTCTGGGCTGTGGTCTCCGTGGCTGTAAAAGTGAGCAGCTGGAACTACGCAGTCTTTTCCAAGATTGAACTTCTGTGATTACCCGTAAAAGAGGCATAATGTCATGTTTAATTCTGAGGATGCACAAAAGGACCAAGAATTTCAACATTGTCTCTCAGTGATAGGAATAGGTCTTTGTGGATGAGGGTTACTCTTGTTATTTTCCATTTCTCTCATTTAATTGCCTCAATAAAGCCCACCTTTCTACAGAGACACACTCTGTCCTTTCTTCCTATCACACGATAGAATCGTTTTCTTTATTTCTGTAATGTGTGTATTAGTAGTCTTTCTGTTGGTTATTATAATTTAATCCCCTAAGAACAACTTTTTTAAAGAAAATATGTTTTCCTGTGCATCTCTACCAGGCTTCATACTGGTGGCACGGTGAAATACAATGAACTATGAATGTGCTGCTTTGCCACTTCCAAAGTGGGGCGGTGGCATGTCTGCCATTCCTCCATCCTGCAGAGCTAGGCACCGTAGATGGCAGCTACGGAATACTTTGGGCTAGGAGTGAAGCATTCTCATCCTCTGAACTACACGCCGGGCAGCAGACCGGCTCAGGGCCTCGTGAGCCACTGCAGTAGCAGAGCGTGGGCTGGATGAACCACCAAAAGGAGCAGTTTCTGAGTATTTGATAGGAGTGCACATTAGGTGTCGTCTCTACAAGTCTCTGAGTAGCAAAAAGGACTCAAGAAACAGAGTTTGCTTTTGGTCTCAATAAATCAGTTTAAAGGATTCAGCACGTATTAGCTATTGTTGTAAGCTAGAACACCACCACACACTTTTGCACATTTGCTCATCAGCTCTTCCCCTCAGTCATAAGAGGTATGGAAGCCATTATTCCCACATTCAACAGGTGAGGAAGCTGAGACTCAGAAAGGTTAATAATTTGCCCAGGATCAACAGAGCTGGTAAGGGACAGCCAAGCCTGTGACTCCAAAGCATGAAGGCCTGTGTCTATTGCTGTTCATTTAACACTTTGAAGTTCTTAGGCTGGCATATACTTTTAAATACTTGCTTTTTATGTATTTAGATTGGCTTTTGTTATCGTGTGTCTGTTTTAAGTGTTGCTCTTAGACCTCGTTCTTGTGCATTCCCAGAACGTCGTTTTACATTACATAGTAAACAAGAGACACTACACCCGTGTTTCCTCTTGTCTAGGCAGAGGCCCAGATTGCTGCAAAAAACCTGGACAAAGAGTACCTGCCCATCGGGGGGCTGGCCGAGTTCTGTAAGGCCTCCGCAGAGCTGGCTCTGGGCGAGAACAGCGAAGTCCTGAAAAGCGGCCGGGTAAGCCGAGCAGGCGCTGGCATCCTCCAGCGTCTGTTTTTAAATTTAATAACTTCAACGAATTTGACATAATTTAAACAATTTAAAACAAAAGAAAAGATATACCACTTTGTGTGCGGTGATTGTTTTGAGGTGGCCACACACTTGCCAATATCTCTTCTTTAGATAGTAAATTGGTGCTCATTAAAGATTTACTACAACAGCAATTCCAAAAAGGTAGTAGTAGTAATTTGATAGATTTGACGCCGCTTTTCTGTTAGTCTTTACATGCTTATGTCCACTTTATATTAAATAGGCTTTAGAAACTCCAAACGATGCCTAGTTTTAGGCCCACCTCAACGTCCTAAGCTTCCAGCTTAGCTGGAGGAAGAGGCAGGAAACAAGCCACAGGGAGCCTGTTGTGGCTGCGCCCGCCGGGCACCCCACTGCTGCTCCCTCACAGCCAGTCTGGCCGTGGGAGGAGAGCGGAGCATGCTCCCTTCCTGCCGCATCCCTCCTCTCTCAGATGTCCAGAGAGTTTTGCTGCAGCCACGCGTGTCTCTTAGTTGTCTCCTCCTTCCAGCTCCCGGGGGGCGGGGGGGCCTTCTTGTGGGAAAGAGATGGCCCTAAAGGTCACTGAACATAAGCTCTTTGCACACAGCTTCCTATATGCACCTGCAGAGCGTATGCAGACCCACACTTGTAGGAGAAGATGAGCATCATGCAGGTGCAATGCAGCCGGGCCACCAAACAGCCGGCCGGACATAGTTTACTTTCTTTTGAAACAAATTTTAATGACTACATTTGTGTGTTTGTGTTTTTCTTTTCCTGTGTAAGTCTGGGGAAAACACAAAGTAACAAACCCAAGCCAACATTCCTTTCCTCCCCACCCCTCCATGGCCAGAATAAATACATTTTATTTACAAGACTGGTCTAAGTCCACAGGCACAGGTTCATTTGTTGACTCAGAAAAGCGCACGGCCTTGACCCCGTGGTGATGCAGCAACGGTCATAAGTCATGGACAAAATATGGTTTGCTTGATGTCTGTGCAGCCAGCCACCTGTTAACCCCTCATGGAAACATCTGTATTTTTCTGTGATTTTTGCGTAGTCTGCGTACACCTAGTCATTTGTTACTAAATGTGAGACTGACCTATCTTAAAATAATATCAGCATGTCTTTTATAAATTGCTGTGCCTTTGTGAATCACTAGTATTATCAGATCCACAGTCAGGTTTTTATTTCTATCATGCCAAAGTTTTCGTGCTTTGCTTTTTAAAGAGTTTGTTAGTTGGGTTCTTCCCATTTAATCCAGTGTCCGCCAGTCCAGAAAATAGGCTTATGTTTTGTAGAGCCTTGTTTTTTATGGTGCCTTTTAAAAAAAAATCTCTGTTACCCAAAAGATAAATATTTCAGATTATGAAATCTCATAAAAGGAGCCTCATCTTAGACAACCTTTAACATGTAGTAACGTTATTCTGATGTCCTTATTGGCTTGCTTTTCAAGGAACTGTGATGTTCAGAGAGTCATTTGATTTTGTAATTCTACAATAATAGTTAACGTAGTGAGACTGCTCCTGGTGTCTTCCTTCTCTGCATAAACCACTCCTTTTTCATTGGAGAGGTGGAGAATTAGCCGTAAGGAATTACCTTTTGCAGCAGCAAAGGTGTTAGAAACGGAAGAGAGGCTTCTTTTGGCAACCAACAAGGACAGTCGAGTCATTCTGTCGCTTAGCAAATGGGAAAGTGAAAGAGTACTGTTCTCTCATTTCCAATACTCATTGGGAACGCGGTCGCCAGCCTCTCTGTTGCCAGGAGAGTGTTGCACCTCACTGACCGTGGGTGTCTCTCCTTCAGTATGTCACCGTGCAGACCATTTCTGGAACCGGGGCCTTAAGGATCGGAGCCAGTTTTCTGGTGAGTCTGAAATGCCTTCAGCAAAGAGCTGCAAGGCAGCCTGGAGGGTGAGGGTGAGGGTGCGGGGCTTCCTGGTGCATGTGTCGCTGACCCAGAAGTAGGTTTCCTCCCTCTACGAAGTGGGAGGCTTTCCTGTTCCCTGATAAGTGGACTCAGGGGGCTAAAAATGAAAGTATTTAGGAGAAGTTACAAAGAAGATAGTGTTATAATTAAAGCAGATAATATAATATAATTTATTGAGCACATACTGTCACTAGGAGCTTTTATATTTAACTCGTTTCATCTTTATGAAGGAGGTTCAGCTCACACCGTTTACAGATGAAGAGAGAGAGGCGCAGACGGGCCCTTGGCAGTGCGGCCACGTAACTCTCGGAGCCTGGATTTCAGGCCGGGTGGTCTCGCTGTCGAGGCAGGACTGCCTCTTAGGAAAGGAAGCTGAGTTTCAGGAGAGATGTCTTTTCAGTAAAATATACCAACTTTTTTTGGCCTCTCTTTTCATTGTTTCTTTTCATTCCCTTTCCTCCCATCTCTCAGCAAAGATTTTTCAAGTTCAGCCGGGATGTCTTTCTGCCCAAACCGTCCTGGGGGAATCACACGCCCATCTTCAGGGACGCGGGCATGCAGTTACAGGGCTACCGATACTACGACCCCAAGACGTGCGGCTTTGACTTCACAGGCGCCATGGAGGACATTTCAGTAAGTGGCTTCCTGGGCAGGAGGGGTGAAAGAGCCAGGAATACACCCCCTCGCGGCGACTTGACTGACTGGCCTCTGGGCCAGGTCTCAATCCCTGACTTAAAATAAGGGGATGAGCCGACTCCCAGACCTCAGGTTGTTTTTGTTACTTACTGAGTAATAACGACCCCATGGCATTTCAGGTAAATTGTATTCTTTGGAAGTTGCAAAGCAGTCTCTTGGTTGTCTTTTCAGAAAATGCCACAGCAGAGCGTGCTCCTCCTGCATGCCTGCGCCCACAATCCCACGGGAGTGGACCCTCGCCCCGAGCAGTGGAAGGAGATAGCCGCGGTGGTCAAGGTGAGGGGCAGGACCAGCTGGTGACCGTTCTGTGCGGAGTGACTAGCCTCAGGTGCCCAACCTGGCATCCTAACAGTGACGGTGCATTACCTCGAGCCCACGTGCACTTTCCGCGGACTATTCCCGGCCGGGAAAGCGCTCCGCATTTGCATGCATGGCAGCTCTGTAATGAATGATGCGTGCGCAGGGTGGAAAAGGTGTTTGTCCCTCAGCCTGGATCTAGGGAGTTCTGATGAAACATGCCATTGGCTGTCCGGGTCGGTGGTTACTTGTCCACCCATTACCCGCTTTTTCTCATTCCCTCCTGTCCTTCCCACTTTCCTTGGAATTGCCATTGTCATTCACGGGGCCAGCTGGCAGAAAAGGCACACGTCAGAATCTAGGGACGAAGACATTCCTGAGCCCCCGCTTCCACTCCTCTTGGTTTCCCTTCCTTTACGTTCTGTTCAACCTCAGCTGCAAACAAAACGAGACAGAAGCAGCATTCAGAGAACACTGCCAGAATGAGACGGCTCCCGCGCGGCCGTCCCACGAGCCTGAGTAGAAGATGAGTCTGTCAGAGCGACATTGGTCCCAGGGAAGGCTGGTGCTGCTCCTGCGTTGACCAGACCCGAATAATTACCCAGACCACCGGGCCACTGCGGGCCTGAGGAGAGCCTCCTGTTTGACTGAGGAGCCTTCTGGGAAGACTGAGATTAAGAGTCTCCTTAATGTCTTTTTTTTTTTTTTAATCCTCACCCAAGAACGTGCTTATTAATTTTTGAGAGAGGGAAGGGAGCGGGAGAGAGAGGGAGCGAAATGTCAACGCGAGAGAGAAACACCAGTAGATCGCCTCTCACACACACCCCGAGTGGGAACCAAACCCTCAATCCAGGCATGTTCCCTGACCAGGAATCAAACCCACAACCCTTTGGCTAACAGGACAGCAGTCCAACCAACTGAGCCAAGGCTTAATGTCTTCTTGAGGGATCATACCAACCAAAGTAAAAAAAATATGTTAATACCTCAGCTCTTGGGAAACGTAAACATTACCAGACTGCCATCTGAGGAGAAAACTGTCGGCTCTGTTGTGTGAGGCAGGCCTGGTCCCAGTAAGCACAGGGGGCCATCTGGCATCTGGGGAAGGGCTACCTGAAGCGTTGATCTTCTCCCTTCCTTCCCAGAAAAACAATCTCTTCGCGTTCTTCGACATGGCCTACCAAGGCTTTGCCAGTGGCGATGGTAACAAGGATGCCTGGGCTGTCCGCTACTTCATCGAACAGGGCATTAATGTTTGCCTCTGCCAGTCCTATGCCAAGAACATGGGCTTATACGGTAAAGTCAAGGGCCCGGTGGGTGGTGTGTGTTCCGATCGCGGAGGGGTGGAGGGGAGGCCACGCAGGTGTGGAGTTTGGCGGGGGTGGTGTGTGTGCTGTCGCGCTGCACGGTGGCACGCCACAGGGAGCGCGGCGCTCCCTGAAACCTGAGGGAAGCCGGCCGGGGCCAGCTGAGGGGGGAGCAGGGCTCTGAAACCCACAGAGCCCGTCCCGGGGTCCTCACGGATGAGGGGGATGAAACACAAAACATCGCAAACACTTCTCTGTTTGCCAGGAGAGCCGATGGGGGCACTTCCCTCTCACTGGACCAGGCCGTGGCGCATCCCCCTAGTGGGGAAGGGCCTGTCACCCTTTGTTCCAAGGCTTTTATTGAAAATCTTACCAGTGGGCTAGGTAACAGGAATGCATACGTTATCTCATTATATTAGTATATTAAGGTTCACAGACAATAGATACCTTTAAGAAAACAAGTGAAAGGGATTCGCTGATATACAGGGGTCCAAGAGGAGATTAGAATCAACAATAGAGCCTATAGATAAGGGGGAAGTCGACTTAAAGGCACCTTGAAGATACAGGGTAAAAAATGTAAATAAAGTAAATGTCTCAACAGTACCAGGTAAGGGGTGTAAACGAAGGTCCTTTGCAGCCTGAACGGATCAGAGATTTGAGGGAGGAACAGAGCGCACTCCAAAGAATTTCCCTCTAGGCCTGATTACCCTGGGGCCCACCAGATCTGATTTAGGCTGCATTGTTCAAAGCCTGGTGGGAGGTGGGGGGGTACCACCAAGAGAGAAGGAGACTGCTTCTTGGCTGCAATGAGGACTCTGGCCGTGCCCAAGCCAAGCCGAGAGGTGCAGGGGCCTTTTTGCCCCTTCTCTGTGTCCCCCAATCTCTTATCTGCTGTCTTTATTGGTCAGTGCCTGTCTTAGGTTGCCCCTCCCCCAAAGGGTCTTGCCAGTCCTTGGCAGGGACCATCTCGAGGCAAAGCAGAGAGGGAGGGGCGCAGCCCCTGCCAGAGGCGGACCGGCCAAATCCCCTCAGGAGCCTGTTCCTCCGAGGCCTCCTGATTATTTCCAGCCTGTTGGCAGGGTTATAGCTTCTGAAACCAGGCCAGGCGTTTCCTGACAGTGTATGTTGTCCTTGTCCCTCTTTACCTGGAGAGGAAAGACAGGTAAAATGGATTCTACCAATCTTCGCCACATCGTCTTTTGCGTCCCTGAATTCCTCCCGCAAAGAAAACTGATTACTGCTTCTCTAAACAATAAGTGACCGCTCCGTGAGCCAAGAAGATGGGTACAATAAAAAGAAACCTTTGAACACTCTTGAGTACCCAAACTTTCTGTTGTACCTAGATTTGCCATCCTGGTTGTGAAGAACTTTTTATGTATAACCAGGGGTTATTTCTGTGGTGTTTCTAGTAGAAACAGCTAATGTGTAACAAATTTAATCATGATTTGCTTTAGCCTGTTAGATTGAACTAGAAAACAAGACCCATTTTGTCTTTTCAGGTGAGCGTGTGGGAGCCTTCACGGTGATCTGCAAAGATGCTGATGAAGCCAAGAAGGTGGAGTCACAGTTGAAGATCTTGATTCGTCCCATGTATTCCAACCCTCCCATCAATGGAGCCCGGATTGCATCCACCGTTCTCAACAGCCCTGATCTGCGTAAACAATGGTAAAGGCCCATGGCTCGCTTCCCCCGGTCCCCTCCGCGCCGCGTGCCCATCCACCCTCAAAGCTTGTTTATAACTGGCCACTAGTGCCATTCGGCATCACACAGCTTCCATAAGCGGAAGGGAAGAAGGGAGAAGTACATTTTGTTAGCACTTTCAAATAAATACATATATCTTTCCCTACAAGAGACAAACATAGTTCAGAGGTGGGAGTTTGTTTTATTCCATTGTTTCCAGGTTAAATGAAATCTGCCTTCTCCTAAGTTTAAGTTCATACTGAGTACCTTACATGGGAAAACTTTCTTTAGAACATTGCATTTTTTGTTTTTATTTTAAGAATAGTTAGCATTGAATTCGTATTTCTGTATCTTTTGGGTTTTTCCTCTGTACCATCTGAGTCTCTTGACACCTGAGCTCTAAGTTAGTGTTACTCAGTCTTTTTACCCACAAGCCACGTAACATGTATTCTACATGATGATCCTGAACACCCATTACCTGTATATGTGTGTATGTAACTGGAACAGCTTCAGTACTTAGGCATGTGCTATACACCAATGTTTTTTAAATGCCAACTGCCTCCAACTACTAGAATGTGTTGCCTGCTAATGGGTCATCACACACTTTTAAAAAACATTTGCTCTGGATCAGAGGTTGGCAAACTGTCCTGCAGGTCAAATCCAGTCTGCCCCTATTTTGGCAAATGTTTCATTAGCACCCAACCACAGTTATTTCTTGATGAATTGTATTTGGCTGTTTTCATGCTCTAACAGCCGAGTTCAGTAGTTGTCACAGAGTATATGGCCCATAAGACCTAATACATTTACAGTCTGGCCCCTTATAAGAGTTTGCTAACCCCTGCTTTATCTAATTTAGAGTTAATAAAAAGCCAAGCCGCCCACGGATGCATGATGTTGTGCAAGAATGTATCCTGCGGAGCTGGTTCGCCAAGCGGGTAGATAGACCTCCGAGCCCCGTCATGGGTAGGAGAGCTAAGCCTGCAGGGCGCTTCACCTGCAGCTCACCTAGCCATCATGCGGCAGCTATTTTTCTACCTTAAAATAATCCTATGAACATTGAAGTAAACGGAGTCTTATTCGAGAGTTTCTTTTCTGCACAATATGTCTATGCTAGGCTGACCAAAAAATCAAGTACTGTACTTCTAAATTACAGATTTTTTTTTCCATTATAAAATTCATGTAAAGTACATCTCAGAAATTTTGGGGAAGGGAAAAATTAACCATAATTCCAGTCACTATAACTCAGCTTTTTTTTTTCTTTGCCTATTATCATCCATAGTTTTAACATGCCATATATCATACTGCTATATATGTATGTGTAGGGTTGGTTTTGTTTTTGTTACTTAGCTTTTTTTCTTTTTTTGCTTAATAGTTGTTTTGTTGGGTTTTTTTTTTTTTTAATATTTCCACATTCCCAGGTGGTCAAGGTTTGGTTTTTTTAATGTGTGCATTTCAACACACATTCGAAGCCTGTGGCGTACAAGGATGACGAGAGGACTGTGCCAGGTGCCTAAGAGACCTCCACTCTTGGGGAGGTATAAGCTAGTGAGAGAGACCCACATAGGCATTGATGTGAGACAGAAGAGACTACGTGCTGACTCAAGGAAGAGCCGTTGATCCCAGGGGGGAACTAGGGAGTGTGTTGCGAAGATGGCAGTGTTTGAGCTGTGCTTTGAAGAGAGGTCTCTGTTTCCCCAAAGGCGATGAAGGGGAGGAGAAAAGCTGGACAGAGAGATGTGCGGTGAGGAAAGGCACGGGTGTGCGGTATGCAGGGTGTGCTCCCGAAGTCCCGAGTGGTTTCTGTGGCAAAAGCAGAAGGGCGGGGGCGGGTGGGTGAGCAGATCGTGAAGCGCCCTGGCTGCTACAGTGAGAAGTCAGAACTTCATGACAGGAGCACAGGGCGGGTTGCTAAGGCCCCCGCGGATCTAGCCGTGGTCATCCACGCAGTGCCTTTAGGGCCCAGACCTCGAAGTGAATGCAGAGCTGGGTGGATGGGACTCTTATCCCTGGAGGGACCAGGGGCTCCAGCTCCAGCCAGTAATCGCGCTGCTGATGCCGTTTTTGCAGACAGACCACAAAGCCACGTTCTTAGAGGCACGTGCCCAATTTTAAAATGTTTTACCGCATCAAGTGAAACATGGCTAAGACTCTTAATTTGACCTTAATTGGCAGCTTGTAACCTCCGTTTTAACTGTCACATGGATGACGTCATTGTAGAGAGATGGTTTGGAAACTGAACATGTTAGAACAGGGAGACAACTGTAAATGTTTTACAGTCATCTCGTCGATGAGAACGGACAGGAATTGCCCATGAGCCCACCATAGGAACTGGATGGAAGGGTGGATTCCGAAGGAAAGGAAAGGTGTTTCCAGAACCAAGCCAGCTGTGTCCAGTCACAGGCCTGCCTTCCCAGCCGGTTCCTTAGAGAAAGTTAACCCTCTCTTCTCCGGGCTATCTTGGCACAGCTCTATTCTGTTCATTCTCACCTTGTCCAGCCTTGTTCCGTAGTTGCTTGTTTACAGGTTGCTTCCAGCCTCCATCGCAAGCTTTCAAAAGCAAAAACCATGTCTCAGTCCTCCCTCCTCCCTGTCCCGTCAGCACCTAGCATGGAGCGTGGCCCGTGGTGGGTTCCCTGTGCACTGTCTTCATTGTAAAGGCAGGGATGTTGATTCCATCCATGTTAAAAATGGGCCATAGTTTACATAGCTTTTGTTCCCCACATAGAAGGTGGAGGGCCTTAGCCTTCACAAGTTTTAGCATGATTCATTCATTCATTTTTTTCCTAGTAGGTCAATCATGTTAACAAATTTGGTGGTCTAATCAAAATAGTGTTCTGACATAACACAAAACACTAAAAATAGTTTTCGTCCTGGACCAGCATGTGACTCGGGGAGTCACAGCTCCTGAGCCTCGTCATGGGCAGGAAAGCTAAGGGACACGCTGGGGGCAGACTCGAGGAAGGGAAAATGCTGTGCGCTGTGGCGTGTCTGTCAGGGCGTGGCCGGAATCGAGCTGCATCCTGGGCTCTTTACAGGTTGCAAGAAGTGAAGGGCATGGCCGACCGCATCATTAGCATGCGGACCCAGCTGGTCTCCAACCTCAAGAAGGAGGGATCCTCCCACAACTGGCAGCACATCACCGACCAGATTGGCATGTTCTGTTTCACGGGACTGAAGCCCGAACAGGTGAGTGGGCTCCGGCTTCCCTGTGGCAGACCAGTGAGGCAGTCCTTGCAAACCCAGATTCCTCCTAGGCCACCTGCCTGTTCAGGGTTCCCTAAAAACAGTCATATTGGAGGCTTTTTTACATAAAGGAAGCATGTAGCATTCACTCGGTTTCAGCTTTTATTGGTGCCTTGCCTGTCTGTATTCTCCATGAGGCTGCAAACGTCCAAAGGGCAGAACTTGTTTTGATTGCATCTGGGACCACTGCTGCTTCTCTGTGGAGAGAACGGAGCGAGCACAGCCTGGCGTTAGGAAGAGAAACAGCTCATCTATAGCTGGGTCCTCCATCTGTTTTTTCCTACAAATGCTGGGTCTTAGATTTCTCTTTTTTAACCTGTTTCCACCTCAGAATTCATCACCCTACTTTAAAATAGATTTTTCTCTTCTCTCAATCTAAGCTCACACACCACATTCTGGGAATGGGGGTGAAGTGAGAAGATAGAGCCCCTGTTACTTTACAGCCTTAGCATGAGGCTGCGGTGCCATGCCAGGCCCGGGGACTCCCCGGGAGAGGGCAAGCCCAAGCACTCTTCTCTCTGCAGGTGGAGCGGCTGACCAAGGAGTTCTCCATCTACATGACAAAGGACGGCCGCATCTCGGTGGCAGGGGTCACCTCGGGCAACGTGGGCTATCTTGCCCATGCCATTCACCAGGTCACCAAGTAATTTCTCTGACGAGAGGAAGCAGAGACGACCTTCCCGGCAACCTCTGCTGTTGAGAGATTCACGCGGAGGAAGAGGGAGGGTGGATGGTGGTGAGCAGATCATTTCTTTCAACCACGGACCTGAAAACTCAGTGTTTGAATGCGTTGCTCAGAAAAGAACGTGTAGGGAAACAGGCAGAGGCACCTGTGGCCAGTGCGTGGGACTTTGCAGCTCTGAACCAAACTCTCCCCGATCTTTGTACCTCCAGCTTTTCTGAGAGTTTACATGTACAAGAAAGACGGCCAAAAAAACCTGTCGATCACACCTTTGCAACATTTCTGAAGCTTTAACTGAAGCAGTGTATGGTGTTGATTCAGCATGAACATGCCACTTGTTAGAGGCTTTGTGAGAAGAACTAGTCCTAACAATAATAGTCAGCCCCATGTTTGTCCTCCCGGGATTGAGCAACCTTAACGACAGACCACGTTACAGAAATTATGTTTTGTGGAAACCAGCAAGTCGGCTGCCACTGCAGCGGGAAAATTAAAAGATGCTATTTCCAGTCTTATTTAAGAGAACAGAGAAAGAAGGCTCTCCTTCTTGTAGGTACTTGCAGGCATTTTAATCTTCCCCTCTCCTGTTTTATCATTGCTGTTCTTTTCCTTAGGCACAGAGATCTGTAACTAACCTAGGTTTTCATCCTAGTGCTTGATTGACCATCAGTCCCATCCAGTAGCACTTGCTCATTTGAAGAATGAAGAACATAATTTACCGCTCACCCCATACCCTCACCTTCCTCAGCAAAGAATAGCAGAGAATGGTTAACAGATTATTTCAGCGTCGTCTTCAATGATTGTCTTCTGCCGGGATGGCGCCTCTGCCCTGTCGGACCTCGTACCTCTGCTCGTTGCTGTTGTGTAGCCACTCGTCTCACACGATGAGCCGGGCGATGCAGGCTGAACCAGCCAGAGGATATTCAGGGCTTGGTTTTGACCTTCGTGCGCTGGGTTCTGGCTGCACCCTTTGGAAAGATAACCACCATCTGCTCTAATCATGTAGACTTACCGCAGCCTGGTTTCTCTGTTACAATAAAGTTACTGTAGACCTGACCACTGTCTACGGTGTTACCTTTTTCTTTAATGGGCAGCAAAGGGAGGAGTGGATGTATATCCCGGAAATCCGAAGTCATATGCAGCTGACCGGAAACCAATAGATGTGTTCGCTGTTCCAAACGTAAGCTGAAGCCGCACCTTTGCCTTTGTCTTGCTGCTCAGCTTGTCCAGTCCAAAGATGCCGAAAGTGTAGGTACCATCCATAGGGCCTTGCGGGGACGAGTGGAGACCTCAAAGGGTCTTGCGGATGTAGGCAGGGCGCAGAGGAGATGGAGGGGCGGTGGCAGCTTCAGATGTCAGTAGGAGCCAGCAGGGAATATAAACAGTGAGTGTAAAGAGAGTCATGCCACCTGGATATAAGATGATCCTGTGTGACCAACCCTCATCCTCAGTGATGAGTCATCGGCAAATGACAAGCGCTGTGAGAACAAAAGTCCAGGATTGCAGGTCTTTTTTTTTTTTAAGATTTTATTTTATTTTTTAGGGAAGGGAAGGGAGGGAGAAAGAGGGAAACATCAATGTGTGGGTGCCTCTCACGTGCCCCCTAGTGAGGACCAGGCATGTGCCCTGACTGGGAATCAAACCAGCGACCCTTTGGTTCGCAGGCTGGTGCTCAACCCACTGAGCCACACCAGCCAAGGCTATTTTTCAAATAAAACCCTGATTTTTATGGGAAGTCTGTTGATGCTTCAAAGGTGGCAACTAATTCAATTTTTTAAATGATTTACAAACAATATGTAAACAGTATAGGTCGCCAGCCTGCAACCTCTACCATAAAGCCATATATCCTAACAGCAGACATCTAGCAATGGCACCTGCTTGGCATCAAGGCTATTCGATCCCCCTCTGCTTCAGGCTGGGAGCCACTCACAATGAAACAGGTATTGACCCAACAGACGAGGGAGCAGGAGTCAGGCCAGGAGCACGTCCACAGTGTGTGGAGAGTCGTTGGGAGGCGGCAGCAGGCACGGCTCGCTCACTCCCCCTTCCTCACACCCCGAGGGGCATGGGCACAGCAGGCTTGCTCCTGACCCTGACTCTTCCATGCCCCTGTCGAGAACGGATACGCCAAAGTGGTGGATGGGTGAGTGAGTGAGCTTATCTGAAATGGACTTTGGAAGTCTTTGGAAATGTATCTTAAAAGAAAAAACAGGAAGCATTATTCAGCTGCTCCATAAAGGGCCTGACTGCTGAGGTCAAGAGAAACCACTTTAAGTCCCCCTGTCTGGAACCAAGAGGTGGCAAGCTGGCTGCCAAGACAGCTGGCAAAGGAACCCAACCACCCTGCTGACCCCATTATTTTTAAACACACGTTGCCACCTCGCGGTGAACTAAGTCCCTTTCCTCGCCAAACACAGTCACATGGAGGGTATTTTTCTCAGCAGTTCAAGTGGTTTGTCTTCAACCCTTTCCTAGTTCTCCAGTGTGGGTAGAAGATGGTAATGTTCATCCACCTGAGGGAGGAGGTAGTTTGCCTGCTCGGAAAGAACAGGCGTGCCTTTGTTTTATTCTAATTTAAGGTAGGAGAGTTCCCAAATCTGAATTTTTTTCTTTTTTTAATATTGGTTCCCAGGCCTTACTGGGCATTCTGACTCACTATGCCTGAGGTAAGGCTTGGGAGTCTTTTTTTATTTTATAATACTAAAAAGAGAAAAAGTTCTAGGTGGTTCAGCTACAGCTGACCCACTGACTAACCATTGGGTACTATTCAACTAAACTGCTTCAGTCTTGCATCTTAGTGACCAAGGTCCAGCTCGCTCAACCAGTTTGAGAATTTTTTACTTTTTTCTTACGCCCTGTGAAATCGTATTCATAGAAATTACTGGTTTATATCTAATAAATGAAAGACTCTTTTTTACAATGATAATCTTATGAAAATCTTGAGAAGCACTGGCTGGGTAAGCTCAGTTGGTTAGAGCGTCATCCCAATACACCAAGGTTGCAGGTTCAATCCCTGGTCAGGGCACCTAAAAGAATCAGAGTGAATGTATAAATAAATGAAACAACAAATTGATGTTTCTGTCTTTGTCTCTCAAATCAATAGATAAAAATCTTGAGAATCTTTTAAATTATATATCTGATAAGGGATTTGTATCCAGAATATATAAAGAATACACTTAAAGAATAACAAGAAAGATAAGTCGATTAATAACTGGAAAAAGTGTCTGAATAGACATTTCTCCAGAGAAGACACCCAAATGGCCAATAAGCACGTGAAAAGATGCTAACGTCATTAGTCATCAGGAAAATGCAACTCACAACTACAATGAGAATCACTTCACACCCACTATAATCAAAAAGACAATAACAAGGGTTATGAAGGATGTAGAGAAATTGGAACTGTCAGTGTTGATAGGAATGTACAATGGTGGAGATGCTTTGGACAACAGCCCAGTAATTCTCAAAAAGTTAAACACAGGGTTACCATTTGACCCAGCAATTCCACTTCTACCTACATACATACCCGAGATAAATGAAAATACGCATCCACACAAAAACATGTACGTGAATGTTCATACCGGCATTATTCACAACAACCAAAAAGTGGAAACAGCCCAAATGCCCAATCAACTGATGAATAAATAAAATGTGATATATCCCTACCATGGAATATTATTGAGCAATAAAATGGAATGAAGTACTAATATGCTCCGGCATGGATGGACCTTGGTAACAGTTCCTCCAAAACACTAAGAAGGTTAGTGGTGCCAGGGGCCTGAAGGACGGAGGAATGGGGGTGGTGAGTGCTAATGGGGGGTGGGAGGGCGGAGGTTGTGGAGAATGGGTGACGATAATGCTGAAATTAGTGGTTATGGTTGCAAGACTCTATATACTGAAAACCACTGTATCGGACACTTTTAAAGTATCGATTTTATGGTAAAATGCATAAAGTTCAAAAAAGCTATTAGGTTTTTAAAACCTGCACACAGCTCTAATGTCCTTCAGCACGTGATCAGCTGTACAAACTAGTACATGCATACTTTGGAATACTAGCTGCGAAACTACAACTCCCAGCGTGCCCCGCGGCCCGCCCTAGTCCCAGAGATCAGGTGACCGCTGTTCACGTGTCTTCGCAGCCGGCTGAGGCATGAACCACCGAGGGTAGGTGGCAAGAGGTAGAAGCGGTGGAGGGTGGAAGCCTTAGGACCCCGGGTACCCAGACCCCCGACCACAGCAGAGCCCTACCCATTCCCTGCAGGGAGCTCCGAAGCCAGGCGTCCTCCGTCACACGCATGCCCTCGGTTGGCCCGTCTCTGCCCGGTCTCCACCCTGCCCTAGGCCCGGATCGATTTGCGAAGCCCTTCCCCAGTTTACCCTATAGCAGCCCACTCTTCTCACTTCAGGCCTGGGGCTCGTCGCCTCCGCTCTGGGTGCGCCCTGACCCACGTCCCAATGCAGCCCACCCTCATAGTTCAGGGATCCGGCCCCGGTCGGGATCTGAGGGGCCTACGGCAGCGATTACAGCTCTGTCCTGAGCAGGCGGGCATCAGGTTTCTAGTTCTGGCTCTGCCAGCCTCCTGCTGTGCCATCGTCTAGCGTCTTTCCCTCCGTGGGTCTGTTTACTTAACTGATCTGGTGCTCCCTTCTATGACATAGAGTGAGAGCCGCTCAGTGCCCTGAACTTTGCTGACGAGCACAGAAACAGCTCCAACTCTTCACTCTGCTGACAGCACATTTTAAGTAAAGCCTTGAGGAAAAGGAAAAAAAAAAAAAAAAAAGACAAGAAAAATTTGGGGCCAGAGAGAGAAGTGAGGAAATCAGAGCCCAGATCTTTGCAGAGATCCTCCACCGTAGCCGGTCAGGTGGAAGAGCAGGTAAGCGGGGGACAATGGAGCTGAGTAGTGTGGGGGCGGGGCGGGGGGGAGGCGGGGAGGGGGCGGGGTGGAGCGGAGACGGCGCGAGCAGGACTGAGGAGGAGGTCTCACAGCTCTGGCAGCACGAACTTTGCAGGGCTTTCTCCGGAGCAATGCTGGAAGCCTGAGAGCTCAAGACTCTTGCTCCGCTCAGCGCTGCTTTGATTTTTTGGCTGAGTTGCTGGCTGGGTGGCAGGCTGCCTAAAAGGAAGTCCTGTGACACGCGGCTGATGTGTCTGGCGTTGGAGCCAGCAGAGAGTAGCAGCTGCCCCCGGAGCTGGTCCCATGGTTGCACGTGTGATGACCAACGCCTAGGAGCATCAGAGCGCTCTTCTTCCTTTGCATGAGTGTACCATTCCCAACTTTGTTGGGCCCTCACCAGCAGGAGCAATGGGAAGCTTCTGTCTACCCAGCGACCCTCCTTTGCCATGCGAAAGCCCCAGGGTGTTGAGGGCATCAGAAGGGATGCCCCTGTAGTTCAGTGGTCCCCAACCTTTTTGGCACCAGGGGCTGGTTTCATGGTAGGCAGTTTTTCCACAGACTGGTGGGAGTTTGGTTGCAAGGAGAACAGGAGGTGGAGTTCAGGCAGTAATGGTTACTCACCTGCTCACCCCCTGCTGTGGGGCCCCGTTCCTAACTGGCCACGGACTGGTACCGGCGCTTAGGGACCCCTGCTGTGGTCAGGTCAGCCATGTGGGAGACGAGTGAGAATTGGCCCGAATTTTGAAAGACTTTGAAAGCATGCAGAACTTAAGCTCTGGGCAGGAGGGAGGGACGCGGGGCTGTAATACGTTGAAATGCCCTCAGTTCTGAGTGAGGCCTGCTCGTGGGTCCTGTGGTGTAGAAACAGGCTGGGAAGGCAGACAGATCTGTATCCACATCCTGCTCTACAACTTGCTGATATGTGACCCTGGGTCATTGATTCGATCTCTCCGGAACGTGTGGACGCTGGTGAAAGGATGACGTGAGATAGGTCCATGACACTCCTGCCCCATACGTGGCCCGTCTCTAGCAGTGACGTGTCTTATTTACCCTGCAGGTGTGTGAGTCTGAAGCGAGCAGGACTTGCCCCTGGCCTATTTCTGTCTGTGCCATCCCCCTGTCCCCCCCATCCCCGGCTATGGCACCGATGCAGTGTTCCGCACAAGGGTGCACCTGGGTTTGAATCCCAGCCATCTGCTCTTGGGAACGTTGTTTCACCTTTCTGTGCCTACCTGGGGATAACAATAATACCTGCTTCTCCTGTCCAGGCTGAGAAGAGCCAGAGCCCACAGGCCTCCCAGGCAGACAGCGCCGAACAGGGGATGTGGTCGTGAGGCGGAATCTGCAGGCCCTGCAGAGAGGGGGCTCTCAGGACCATGGCCCAGGTCAGCATCAACAGTGACCTTGGCGAGTGGGGCTTCAGCGCGGACGCTGGGGAGCGGGCCCGTCTGCTGCAGAGTCCCTGTGTGGACTCGGACCCTAAGAACGAGGGGGAGGCCTCTCCTGAGAGTCCGAGCAGAGGTGCCACATCCGCATTTGGGGCCATCTTCATCGTCGTCAACGCCTGCCTGGGTGCAGGATTGCTCAATTTCCCGGCAGCCTTCAGCACTGCCGGGGGCGTGGCAGCCGGCATCACCCTGCAGATGGTGAGTGTGCAGGCCCAGAGGGCAGAAATGCGATTGAGCTGGCGAGCCTGGCCTCTGGGCCTCGAAGGGGAGGCTTTGGATCAGGGATGGTCAGAGCCGCCCCCGTCCCTGCCCTCACACATGGCAGACTCACTGATCTGTTCCCTCGTTCATTCCTCTGAGCCCAAATGAGGCTTCCAAAGCCTTCCCAGCAATCAGGGAAAGTTGACATCAATGGCATATAATCTCGTGGTCATGTTTAAGGAGTAGTCCCGTGTCTTTTAGAACTACATGAAGTACTGATGGAATGATATGAGGACTTGTTTGTTTGTTTGTTTGTTTTTCCTTCAAAATAATCCAGAGTGGGGAAAGGAATATATGAAACTAGATTGGCAATGAATGGATCATTTTTGAAGCTGAGCGATGAGTACATGGGGGTCCATTATATCATTCTGTCTACTTTTGTGTGTGTTTGAAACGTTCCACAAAGCTGCTTTTGTTTCTAAAGAAAATCTGAAGTCAGCAACCTCTGGTAACCTATTAAAATTGCCCTACAAGAGGAGGCGTATTTGCCAAACCAGCTTTGATCATTGGCCCAGTAACTGCTGAGCAAGACCGGGCTGCCCTTTGCTGCCAGGCTTTTCCCACACCCTCTTGCTCTGCCCCTGCCCACAGGGCATGCTGGTTTTCATCATCAGCGGCCTCGTCATCCTCGCCTACTGCTCGCAGGCCAGCAATGAGCGGACCTACCAGGAGGTGGTGTGGGCCGTGTGTGGCAAGGTGACAGGCGTGCTGTGTGAGGTCTCCATTGCCATCTATACCTTCGGCACCTGCATCGCCTTTCTCATCATCATCGGGGACCAGCAGGACAAAAGTGAGGTTCCCTCAGCAGCTACCTCATCCCTCCCCCTCGGCCATGGGGATCCTGGGGGTGGAGGGAAAGGGCACGGCACAGCTGCCCAAGGCCTCGCCTGGGCCCGGCATCCACCTGGGAGTCCTCCCTCCTGGCCACTGAGCCCATGAGACAGATGACGGTCCAGAGGCCCAGCAGAGCAGGAGGGCCGCCCCCTGCAGTGGCCGGGCGTGACGCTCCCTCCTTCCTCCCTGTGCAGTTATAGCTGTGTTGGCAAAGGAGCCCGAGGGGGCCGGTGGCAGCCGCTGGTACACAGACCGCAAGTTCACCATCAGCCTCACTGCCTTCCTCTTCATCCTGCCCCTTTCCATCCCCAGGGAGATCGGCTTCCAGAAATACGCCAGGTTTGGAGCCCCCCCCCGCCAAAACCTGGGCCAGACAGATGCTCTGATGGCAGGCAGCTGGAGACCCAAGGGCTGCTAGGGTACCCTGTCCTCTGCACCACCGCGCCTCCTGGGGCAGCAAGAGCGGGCAAGGGAGACAGTGGCCTTTGGCATCTGTGGGGTATCCAGTTCCAACATCCTTGTCAGAGAAGGGACAGGTGACAGTCGGGAGGGTGAAGGTGACAGGAGAGTGAAGGCAGCCCCCTGGCCTGGGCCTGGGCTGGCCCAGAGAGGACGGGATTTTTGATCAGTCGGGATTGTCCACCGGGCTGCATCTTCCATGCAGCTTGTTATGATGCGGGAGGACTGGCTTCCTGGCCCTGGGTCTGAAAAACCGTTTCCTGTGATCCACCATTGACAAGGTCACACTCAGCTGCCTCCCACATCCCCTGTAGTGTTAGCATTGCACTATGTGTACCTTCAGCCCTTCCAGCTCCAGAATCTCCTAGCTGGAGATACTGTCTCCCAGTATCCTAGTTGGAGAGAGGGTCTTACAGCCCTGCCTGCAGCCCTCGCCAAGCGCGGGCTGGTCTGACTGAAGCAGGAGACGTGCTTTGAAGCCCAGGCCTCCGAGCTGTGGAGCTGAGCCAGTGCAGTTCCTAATGGTCGGAAATGTCAGTCTGGCCCCCCGTTGGGGTCCCGCTCCCTCCTAGCTGTAGCCAATTTCTCCAAAACGTATTTCTCGTGCATTTCTTGAGTCTTTCCCCGAAACAGTCTCCCTGTTCGTTCAGTAGACACTTGCGGTCACCAGAGCTGAGGGTAGATGGCCCTGGGGTAGCATCAGAGAAGGGCAGCTGGGGCTGGGAGGGAGGAGTTCAGTACCTTCTTCTCGGCAGCTTCCTGAGCGTCGTGGGCACCTGGTACGTCACTGCCATCGTAATCATCAAATACATCTGGCCGGATAAAGAGATGACCCCAGGGGACATCCTGACCAGGTGGGTGAGAAGCCCCCAGGGGACACCTGGGGCAGAATCTGCTGCTTGGGCCCCAGAAGGTGCTGGGTCACACATCCAAAGGCCACACAGCCGCTTGTCTCAAAGCTCCTTAGCTCATCAGGGCTTGACTCCCTGGTCACTGTAGGAAGGAGGCAAGAGGCTCTGGCCTCTTCTTACTGAAGGGAAGAGCGAGAACCAGAGATGGGAGAGACTTTGCCACTAACATCCAACCAATGAGCCAACGTGAGAGCAGGCCTCAGGCTGCAGGTGTACACTCTTCCAACTTGTGATTATCTATAATTTTTGTGTCTTCTCCGTGAGAATGAACCTGTGTTGTCATTTTAAGTTTCCTTTTTCCTTCGAAAGGAACAAACGAAAAAAGCAAAAGCCCCGGTGTGGGAGCCAGACATTCTGGATTTCGGTCCCAGGAGGGCCTTCCAGGGCCTCAGTTTACGGGCCTGTGAACTGGAGGTGCACGCTCCCCCCGTCGCCAGGCGGCTGTGGGTTGACTGTGCGGGGTGCTCACTGGTGGAGGCTGTGGTGCACCGGATGAAGGGCAAGTGCGGGGGGTGCTGGGCGGCTGCGGGGTGTCCCAGGCAGCCGATTCTTGTGCGTTTACCCACAGGCCAGCTTCCTGGATGGCTGTGTTCAATGCCATGCCCACCATCTGCTTTGGATTTCAGGTGCCAGTTGCAAGGTCCCTGTCCCCGCCCACCCCGGGATGGGGCCCACATTACAGACCGGATGGGGGTCTAGGGAGGAAGGACGGAGTGGGGACCCCAGGACTTGCCTTTTGAGGCAATGGTCTTTCGTCCCTGTGGTCCTTGTCCCCGAGGTACCTCGCTCTGGAAACAGGGCGAGGCCACGTCGCCGCCGTAACTATGCCGTTCGCCCTGACAGTGCCACGTGAGCAGTGTGCCCATCTTCAACAGCATGCGGCAGCCCGAGGTGAAGACGTGGGGCGGGGTGGTGACGGCCGCCATGGTCATAGCCCTCGCCGTGTACATGGGCACAGGTGAGCGCGCCCTCGGGGGCCGGGCTTGGGGTGCCCCCGCGTGCCCCCTTTGTTCCCAAGTCCTCTGGCCCAGCTTTCCTGCGGACAGCCCTGCACTCTTAGCGTGTCAAACCCCGCTGTAGGCACCCGCGTGACCCTGGGCGGCCTTGGGCCGCCGCGGCCCAAAGGAGAGAAGCGCGTGCGTGCATTCGTTCAGGAGCTGTTCTCAGCACGGGGGGCGTGGGGATCGAGAGACCTGGCCCTGCCCGCGTGGAATGGACAGCCTAGTTGGAGAGACAGTCTCACAGGAGGAACTCAGGACTCAGTAAGGACTCTCAGACGGTAGTGAGGGCCGCAGCGACTGTGAAACAGGGCAGATGTGAGTGCGACTGGGAGGGGGTGCATCGGGGGAGGGTTCGCCGAAGGCTTCTCTCTGAGGGGGTTACGTCTGGGGGAGGCCCACGTGATGGAAGGAGTGAGAACCTGAAGGGCTGGAGGAAGAGCATGCCAGACAGAGGAACCAGAAAATGCCCAGTCCTTGAAGCAAGGGCAGGAGAAGGGTCTGCAGAGCTGGAGCCGAGCAAGCTGGGGTGGGAGACAGGGACCCGGGCCAGGTCCTGTTGGGCCTTGAGGACTGTGGGAGCCGTGGCAAGCGCGTCCTAAGCACGTGTGTCGGTGAAAGATGGCTGTGGGTGCTGTGTGGGGAACGGCCGGGACAAGGCGGCAGGACGGGGTAGGGGGCCCGGAGAACGGCCCTGTGATCCCTCCCGCAGGCGGCTCTGGGGCCAGCCCTCTTCTCCGCCTGACAACACCACGAGGAACAAGCGAGGCAAATAAGATGAGTCCCTGCTCTCCTGGGGCTTGTGTTCTGGTTGGAGACACAGATGCCAGACAAGTTTAAAAAAGAAAAAGAATTCAGCCCTGGCTGATGTGGCTCAGTGGACTGAGCGCCAGCCTGCGAAGCAAAGGGTCACTGGTTCGGTTCCCAGTCAGGGCACATGCCGGGGTTGTGGGCCAGGTCCCTGGTTAGGGGCATGTGACAGTCAACCGATTAGTGATCCTCTGGCACATCAGCGTTTGTCTCCCTCTCCTCTCTCTGAAAATAAACAAATAAATAAATAAAATCTTTTTTTTTTTCCTTTTAAAGAAAAAGAATTCAGAGAGGCGAGCTGTGGAGGGAAGGACAGGTTGATGTGCGCATGCCCGGGGCTGGGGTGATGGTGGGCGGCTTGGTGGGAGCGATGATCTGTAACAGGGAGCCTGTGAGGCCTGAGTGATTGGATGGCCGCACGAAGAGCTGGGCAGACGGAACGTTAGTGCAGAGGTGCCAAGACAGGAGCCTGCTGGCCGAGGGCAGGGTCAGGAGGCGCCTGATCCCTGCCCAACACCCTCTAAGCCTCCAGAGTGGCTCCAACACCCTCGGTGTCTTCTGTCGCACCAAGCGGTACCCTCCTGGGGTGGCCCCCACCCAGCCTCTCTATCCCTGCCCTCAGGCGTCTGTGGCTTCCTGACCTTCGGCGCCTCCGTGGACCCCGATGTGCTCCTGTCCTATCCCTCCAACGACATGGCCGTGGCCGTGGCCCGCGCCTTCATCATCCTGAGCGTGCTCACCTCCTACTCCATCCTGCACTTCTGCGGCCGGTGAGCCCTCCCCGCCCCTGCGGGGCATGCCCTCAGGGGCCCGAGAGCCCTGTGAACACGGCCCTTCAGCCCTGTGTGGAACCCGTGTTGTAGGAGAAACTGAAGCCCGCAGGAGAGTCAGTGCCCAGTGTGGCCCTATCAGTGTGCCCAGCGGGGCTCAGGCCCCCTTTGTCCCAGGGTCCCCAGAACATTCTGTGAGTCCTCTGAGAACCTCTAGCCCAGATCCTTCTCTGAACACCCAGTCTTCTGGGTGTCTCCGACCCTTCGTTTTCAGAGAACGACAGAACCCGTCCCCACCAGTGGGTGACCCCGCCCTGGGAAAGTGGGGTGCTAAGCCCTCCATGTCCGCCCTCTCATCCAGGCCCCGCGGCAGCCCCAGCAGATGCTGCTGGGCCTGCTTTACACAACAGGGAGCGGGCCGCCTGCCCACCATCTCCGCCATCGGGGGGTCTGGCTCGGGGGCCAGAGGTGGGGACAGGTAACAGGGTGCCCTGAGCCCACCATGTGCGTGCGTGTGCAGGGCGGTGGTTGAAGGCCTCTGGCTGCGCTACCAGGGGGTGCCGGTGGAGGAGGACGTGGGGCGGGAGCGGCGGCGGCGAGTGCTGCAGACGCTGGTCTGGTTCCTGCTCACCCTGCTGCTGGCCCTCTTCATCCCCGACATCGGCAAGGTCATCGCAGTCATCGGAGGCCTGGCCGCCTGCTTCATCTTCATCTTCCCAGGTGCGGGCCCTCGGCACCCCCACGGCCCCGCCCCCTCCGGGCCTCAGCTCCACACTCGCTCACCTGCTGCCGGGAGCCACCAGCCTTTACTGTCACCCAGCACAGGCTCTGGGCTAACGCCTGTGCAGGCGTCACCTGAAAAGCAGCTGTCATCCTCTCCATTTTACTGCCAAGGAGACGGGAGTTTCAGGGAGGGTAACGCTTGCCTCCATGTGAACAAACTCAGCTAATGAGTAACAACCCTTCCAACCCCACGTCTGTCTAGATCCCCAGCCTATACCTTTACTCCTTCACTCAAGCATCTGTTGCCCCTGGCAATCAGGGATCTGGCTGGTTCAGTTCCCGGAGGGCAACAGGGTCTGGTGCCCTGATGCAGAAGCCAGGACAGCTGAGTGTCAGTCACAGGCCTGCCATCAGATCTCGGGATATTGTCCCATCTGCTCAGCCATGAGTTCTGCCTGTACCCAGCTTGTTTCTGTTTAGGGCGCCATCTTGAAAGCCCTGGCCACTTGGCTTGGAGCAGGGGGGCCACACCTGCTCGGCAGCACACTGGGAAGGGCCTGGGTGCGCTGCTGCTTTAGCTCTGAGCCTCGCACGCAGCCCCAAGTGTTCCTGGCAGGTGCGGACCGCTCATGGGAGAGCAGGTGCCAGGCCTCCAGCTGGGTGTCGGGGGCGGGGATGGAGTGTCCGCAGGTGTGAATAGGCCTCTCTCCATCCGCTACTACTGCCTCTTGGTAAGGGGGAGAGGCTGGGCCTGAGGGAGGCAGCCCCCCAAAGCTCTTGGTGCCCCCTCTTCTCTTCCAGGGCTGTGCCTCATTCAAGCCAAACTCTCTGAGATGGAGGAGGTCAAGCCAGCCAGGTGAGGCAGGGCCCAGCCCGTGGTCCTCGGTGGGGGGTTGGGGCGGGCACTAGATCGGGAGGTAGCATTGCGGGGAGGGGCCCTTAAAATCATAGGGGCCGGGAGGCTCGCACACTTTAAAAAACGGGAGTTTTTAAAATGCTTTACTTAAAATGGGTAACATGTTCATTCTGACAGTTCAAACACTCCTGAAAGACTTTAGAGAAAAAAGCGGAAGCCCCTCCTCCCTCACAGTCCGGATGTCATCCTCCTCCATCCCCAGCTCCTTGTCACCAGCTCAGTCTGTGGCTTTCCAGACGGTCCTGCGCACGTGTGCCTGTCTGTGTACACAGTGCTGTATATACATATGCACCACCACATGGGATTAGGGATCTAGGTTTTTTTTAATGTTTTTATGCCATTCACACTTTTCTGCCACTTGCTTTATTTTTCCCCACTTAACCACGTATCTTGGCAATCACTCTGTCAGCCCAAGAAAACCCACTTCTTCCTTTTTCAATGTCTGCAGAATATTCTGTTGTGTGAATGTGTCCGGAATGTGAACACTCATTCATACACATCTTGGCACACCTGTTCAAAGATCCTGGTAGGATTTTTTTTTAAGGGTTTTCGTTTTGGTTTTTTTTTAAGATTTTATTTATTTATTTTTAGAGAAGGAGAAGGAGAGAAACAACAGTGTGCAGTTGCATTTCATGTACCCCATGCTGGGAACCTGGCCTGCAACCCAGGCAAACCAGCTAGGGCATTATTTAGGGAGAGAGGAAGGGAAGGAGAAAGGGAGAGGAAGAGAAACATCGATGTTTCGATGATGATGAAACATATCAGTTGCCTCTTGCACGCCCCCAAGTGGGGACCTGGCCCACAACCCAGGCATGTGCCCTGACTGGGATTCGAACCTGTGACGTTTTGGTTTCACAGGCTGGTGCTCATTCCACTGAACCACGCCAGGTAGGGCGATCTCAGTAGGATTGATTCTTAGGAAGAAATTGCTATATCACAAGGCAAGCTCATTCTTATTTTGTCACGTGGGTTCAAATTCTCCTCCAAAAAGGCAATACCAGGCGGAGTCCCAGCGGCGATGAACGTTCCCCACACCTCTCCCAGCACTGGGTATAACCGCCTTTTAAATTTCTGTTTAAATGGATGGATGTAAAACACTACACTGTTTTAATTTGCACATTTCCTTAAATATCAAGAGAGGTTGAGAACAGGTTGTGTGCTTTTAAAAAATGATCTTGCAAGTAATGCTTATTATAGAAAAACTAAAAAGAACGCAGGTAAGTCTTAAGGAAGAAAATAGAAATCACCCTTAATCTCAATACCTCCTTCTAACCCTGTTTGCTGTTTTTGATACATACATTTGATTCAAACATACATACATTTTCATACATTCACTTTACATACATTATAACCTTATTACTATTTTTGATACATACATTTCCATTTTTGATAACACATATTTACAGATGTCTGTTTTTTGTGTGTTTGGTTTTTTTTTAAATGAAATGGTTCGCACTCCATGTGACCTGCTTTTCCCCCAAACATATCTCCACCAGGAGACATCCTGGTCCTGCCCTTGCTGTGACCAGTCAGTCCCATTTGGTCTTGGCCTTGCCTGTCTGTGGGTTAGGGATCATACACCTGGCCACACATACCTTTGTACAAAAAGGCCTTGAGACCTAGGAAGTGTTCTACCCACAGGAGAAGTGGTTTAAGTGGTTATGGTCATTGACTGGTGTGTGCGTGTTGAAGTCTGTGGAGTCACCGGTGGGGTGATTGACCAGGTCCCTCTCTCCCTCTGCCTTACAGCTGGTGGGCGCTGGTCGGTTATGGAGTCCTCTTAGTCACCCTGGGAGCCTTCATCTTCGGCCAGACCACAGCCAACGCCATCTTCGTGGATCTGTTGGCATAACCGCAGCCTCCCAGGGAACACATGGCCTTTGCCCTTGCACCCGGGAAGCCGTCTCTTGGAGCTGCAGGGCCCCCTGACCCTGCCGTCGTTCCCCTTTGCTGGTGGCCTGACAGCGGGACATCCTTTCCCAGGCATGGAGCTGGGGCGAAATCAGGCCCCACCCCTCTGGACCGCCCACACATGGCCCCCTGTCCTGGCAGTGCCGTGGATGGTGGAGTGGTGTCACAGAGGGAACCCCCCTCAGCTCACAACGTCTCCATGCCTGGGACCCGTGGGTGCAGGGGGTCAGCAGGTCTCGGAAGAAGGAATCCAGCCTGACTTCGCTCTGGAGGAGGGCAGGCAGGAAGCTGCTGTCCCCCTCAGAGCAGCCTGTGCCGAGCAGGCACTATGCTCCCTCCCCGGGACTCAGCACCTGCTCCAGGCTGTCAGCAGACCGGCCGGCAGTGGCTTCCTCTGGGATCTGGCAATTTCCAAAGGTAGCCCTGGATTCACACAGAGGCTCAGAGGCAGATAGAGTTCACACCTAGTCCACTCCCTCCTGGGCCCACAGTGAACCTACAGCCCTCTTTCCCGTGGGTACGTGACATTGGGGCCTCGCCCAGGGTCTTCCCCTAAACCTGAGGGTCCAGGCATCCTTCTCTTCCATCCCCAGACATCACCAAGTCTTATGTTTACAAACGGTGCCAGCCCGGCTCAGCCAGGGGCCGGGGCCAGGGGCCGTCCGTGCCACGGTGCTGTGAGTACTCCTCCTCAGCTTCCCCCATGGCGGGGAGTCTTTCTCAGATTCCAGGTGGGCCCCTCTTTTCAGAGGTTCAAACACGGGTGATGGAGAAGGCTAGGTACCTTTTAGACCTGTGCAGGCTGGGCTGGTCAGGCTCAAGGCGAACCTGTCTGGTATCTACTCCTTCAGTGTCTGCTTCTCTCCGCCCTCCTGCCAACCCTAGCATGGTAGCCCACAGACAAGCAAGGCAGCTGATGGGTCGCTGGGCAACGCTGAGAGCTGCAAACGCCAGCCTGGACGTTTTCCTTTCCATCTGGATCTTGTCTGCTCCTTCTCCCACCCATCGCTCTTCCCCTCCACCCCGTTTTTCAGCCCTGCTCACTAAGTATTGGGGAGGGGTTGACAAACCTCTCGTCCACCTCCTCAGCTCCACACACCACCAGGTTTGGTCTTGGTGGCCTGTCGGTCACATTGAGATCACACCTGGATTGTGCCCCAGGAGGGTGAGGAGGGACGCTACTCTCCCACTCTGTGTTCTTATTCTGAACACCTGGGCCCCTCACTGGCCAACACCAGGCACCAGCTGAGGCCGCCTCCGCCCGGAACACCCAGCGTGCCCCTGGCCCCTCTTCCCAAAACCTCTGCACTGGGGCAGTGGGTGAGGGACCCGACCCAGCAGCCCAGCACTCAGGACAGCCAGATGTGAGCCGCAGAGGCTGGATGGATTCTGCCCAGTCCCCAGACTAGGCGACCTGCCTTTCCTTGCCTCCGGGCCCCTGGGGCCAGAGCCGCTCTGCAGCTTTCCCTCGGCGCCCCCACCTTCCCCGGGGCTGGGCTTCCTGGGTGGAGGGAGCTGAGGGCGTCGACACAGAGGCCGGACCAGTCGGGAAAGGGGCTGGGATTTGGCCCGGCCCACACTCAGGAGCCCCTACCCTCCCTGCCAGGGCATTTCACTTTCTTTTCTACAGTCCAGGGAAGATGGTAAATAAAGAGGGACTTGTGCTGCTGAGCTGTGTGGCCTGTGTCTGGTACTGGGGACAGAGGCCAGGCCACTGCTGACAGGAGGGTGGGGCAAGGCCTTCTCGCCTTATGGTCTGGGACCCTTGTCGGCAGTGGGCACCGCCATGTTCCCCTTACCAAGCTGGAAACCTGCAAGCGGTCCTTGACACCTCCCTTCTCCCCCATGTCCTATTAGCCCTGTCCCACCCATTGGGGAATCAGCCTCGGTCCCTGTCCTGCCCCCGCCTTAGCTCAGGCCCTCCCCTTGTCTCCCCTGCACTGCTGTGGCCTGAGACTGGCCCCCACGCTGTCCGTCACCCCCTGACCTCAACTCTTCGGGGAGCTTCAAATTCCTGCGCATCCATCCCTGCCTTTTCAGAGGTGTGCAGAGCAGGTCCGGGTGTGGAGACCGTCACTGTGCTCAGTGCTCGCAGGAAGACCCAGAACGAACGCAAGTACTACACTCAGTCCACTGGGGACACTCCATCTACTGGAGACAACTGATAACAAAGCAGGCGGTCACACAAGTATATATAAGCAAATTGTGATATGGGCCAAGGAGGAACATACAGAACGTTCTACTTGGGGGCCTGGAGTTTGGGGAGTCAAGGAAGACTTCCTGGAAGAAGTAACATTTGAGCCGGCCCCTGAAGGAGGGGCAGGATTGAAGTGAAAAGAGGTAGGGAGACCTTTCCAGGCCCCGGGAACTGCATGGGCAGAAGCCCTGGTGAGGGAGGTACGTGGTTTGCAGAACTGGAGAGCGGCCACTGTTGGAGCAGCACTGCCTGGCCGCTCTTCAGGACGCCGGCGGAGCGTTCGGGGCGGGCGGCAGTGGCTCCCCTTGTCCTTAGCGTAAAGTCCAACCGCGCATCTTCCAGTCCACGTCCCCTCCCTGCTCCAGTCGTAAGTCAACAAAGCCCCCGCCTCCCTGGTGGGGGCAGGAATTCTCCAGGGAGGAAACATTTCAAAAGGCTAGAGACGTGGGACAGCGTTGGGCTGTGGTGCCCGCTGGCCACAGGCTCTGGGCAAGTCGCTTCAGCGCTCTGGGCTTGTTTCCCCGTGTCTAAAAGGGGAATGGTCGTCCAGGATCACTTCCTGGGAATCGGTGTTTCCTGAAACTGCAGTGTGCATACTGAATTTTTATTGGCGTAGGGTACAAACTCCGCTTCATTGGGTCTGGGGTGGGACCCGAGATCTGCGTTGCTAGCTCCTGTGTTCCCCCTCTCTGGTCCGGGGACCACACATCAGTAGCAGGGGACTGGTAGGCAGAGCAAAGGCTCTGGCCTCGGAGAGACCTGGCTGGGATCTCACACTGCAGGGACTCAGAGAGCCACTTCGCTCCCCTGAACCCCACTTTCCTCAACTATAAAACGGGAATGAGGGTGTCCACCTTGTAGCTGTCGGTATTACAAATCCGAGGACAACCGGCATCATCATCTACGGGAATGAAGTGCCTAGAAGAAAGCAGGGCTGGGTTAGTTCTCTGTACCCGGAGGAGAATGCCCCTGCAGTTCCTTCCTTTTGTCACTAGAGGTCACCATTGTGTAACTTTTGCGTAGGGAAGGCAGGCGCCTTCAGCCTCGGAGGAGGCTGGGGATTGGACTGCTGCCTGGTACTTCTAAGTTAAACGCCTACCAGGGGCAGGGCCGCCTCTAGATCCTGGCCAACAGCCTAGTGGGGGAATCCGACCAAACAATCACAGAAACTAACAGTGTTGGTCCGTGTGTGCTAGATGTAGATTAGATATTGCAACTCCAGATTTGATAATAATTCACTGCTGATGAAAAACATTTCTTAAAGGGGAGCCCCCCCTTCTACTTGCTAGATGGGATGCTGCCAGATTCACAGATCGCTCAACAAAGCCAATTAGATCTTCGAAATAAATAAAATAAAATGTTCAGTAGGTGTGGAGGAAGGCCAGAGACGGTGTAACCAGGAAGAAAGTAGACACCCTGTCCCCCAAACACGGTGTTTTCCGGAGGAGGGTGGTTAGAGGAGGATATGGGGGATGGGCAGGCGGAGGAGCCATCCAGTTAGTCATTTTTATTTTTATTTTTTGTTATTGTTGACACTATTACAGATGTCTCCCATTCCCCTCTTTGTCCCCCTCTACCTAGCCCCGCCCCCCACCCTGAGATCTTCACCACATTGCTGTCTGTGTCCATGGGCCATGCATATATGCACATATGTTCTTTGGCTAATTTTTTCTAGTCCCCCACCCCTTCCCCTCTGAGATCTGTCAGTCTGTTCCAGGGATCCATGCCTCTGGTCCGATTTTGTTCATCAGTTTCTTTTGTTCATTAGACGCCACATAAAAGTGAGATCATACGGTATTTGTCTTTCTCTGACTGGCTTATTTCATGTGGTTTAATATTTTCCAGGTCCATCCATGCTGTCACAAAGGGTAAGAGTTCCTTCTTTTTTATAACCGCATAGTATTCCATTGCATAAATGTACCACAGCTTTTTGATCCACTCATCTACTGATGGGCACTTGGGCTGCTTCCAGATGGAAGTTATTGGCTATTGTAATGGCCATTTTTTCATTAAAAATGAAGTTGGAGTGTTTTCCCTCCAGCATGTGAGAAGCATGGAAATGCTCACTCCATCCTAACACCAAGCTGGAGAGTCATCAACTATTAGATCTGTAAGATAAGGCAGGTTACAACACACACCGCTGCCCCCAACATAGGAAAGAGTGACAAATAATAGAGTGGAACCTCACAAGCGGAAACTTGCAGGGGAACCGGCGCCACAGAAAGCTGACCATTCATCGATGAATTGCCACGGGCTCCACGGGAACGAGCCTGAGCGAGAACAGCCCCAGGCACGCCTCGGTGCGCTTGGCCTCCCGGAGCTCTGGCAGGGTCCCCCTGTAACAGAACAACCCCTTCCTGTTTCAGCTGGCAGGGTAAAAGGAACTACTTCAAAAAGTGCCAGAGCATGTTCTTCTTAACAAGATCTGCCCTCAGGAGAAACTCAAAGGTTAACCAGAGCCTAACCAGCTGGGGCTTTATCACCACCTAGGGGACCTAGCGGAAGGGAAATGCCCACCAGCTCTGGCCCTCCGCGTGGAGGAAGGGAGATGCACAGCTCCAGCAGCGCACCCCAACCTCCTGACGATGCCAGAGGGGGAGCTGAGGCGCACGCTGAGGTCCACACAGGCTGGCTAAAAGACTCATCCGACCACAGGACGACAGAGCACTGCCCCTTGCCGCCCCATTGCCAAGGGCTCAGCAGCTCCTTTTACCCAGCATGTTATGTCCAGCCATTCAGAAAAAATAGCAAGACACACTAAAGGGCAAAGACATACCAAAGACCAAGCATCAGAGCGAGACTTATGGCAGGGATGTTGGAATTATCAGACCAGGAATTTAAAACAACTGTGATTAATATGCTAAGGGCCCTGGTGGGTCAAGTAGATGGCCTGTAAAACCAGGTGGGCGATGTAATCAGCGAGTTGGGAATTCTAAGAAAGACTCAAAAAAGAAATGCCTGACATGAAAAGCACTGTTAGAGAGATGAAAAATGCCTTTGATGGGTTTCTTAGTAATCCTGGATACGCCCAAGGAAAGAATCTGAGCTTCATGGTATCTCAACAAACACTTCCCAACCTGAAAAGCAAATAGAAAAAAAGGTCAAAAAAGAACAGAAAAGAGAATCCAGGAACTGTGGGTCAGCTACCACAAGCGTAATATATGCATAGTGGGAATACCAGTGGGAGAAGAGAAACAGGAACAGAAAATATATTTGAATCAATAATCACTGAAAATTCCCCCCAAGTGAATGTCAGACACAAACCACAGATCCAGGAAGCTCAGCGAAAACCAAGCAGGATAAATGCCCCAAAAATATGATGCCTAGTTATTTCAAAAAAAATTTTTAAATCAAAAATAAAAAGAAAGTCTTGAAAGAAGCCAGAGTCGAGAGAAACACCGTAGCTGTAGAGAAGCAAAGATACAATACTAAATCTGATAGGGGACTCAAATTTTGGAAAAATTTTAGTTTAGGTAATAGCTAATCTTAGTAATCATGTATGTAAAAGGCTATTGTTTCAGGGACTAAAGGCATGACCCACCTTGACTCCAAGAGACAATGAGCAGCTCTTGTCTCTTGCCTCTTCCAACTCTGTGCCTCAGGAAGACTGCAAGTAATTAAGATGGTACCTGAGGCATTGAACTCCAGGGTGAGACACCCTCCGCCCAGGACACAGATAAGACCACCACCCAGGGACAACGATGAAAGGATGCTGCTGCCTTCATCTGATTAACCTTTTCCCTGAATTCCAACCCCCCTACCTACACTTTTCTTCTCCTTATAAAAAGGGTCAGTTTAAAATGGAATTTTAAGACGATCTGTTAGGGTACATCACCAGCCACCTTCTCAGAGCGCCAGCCATGGGAATAAAGTGCCCGTAAAGATTCAATCCCTGCCTCTGCTTATTGGGTCTGGTAGTGACAGGCAGCGCAAACGCTGGCTTTTCCAATTTCACATCTGACTGCTCCTCAGAAACCATGTAAGCAAGAAGAGGGTGAAGTGAAATACTTTAAATGGTGAGGGAGAAAAAAGACCAACCTAGAAATCTGTACCCTGTGAAATGATTCCAAAGCAAAGGAGAAATAAAGACTTCCTCAAACAGAAATTGAGGGAATGTGTTACTGGTAGACTTGTCTTAAAAGAAGTGTCTAAAGAAGTTCTTTAGAGAGAATAAAAATGAAATACAGAAGATATCACAGTTATAAAAGAAGAAAAGAATGCTTTGAAAAATGAACCAAATATTTTTTTAACTAAAAAGTAAAAGTATGACAGCTGAATTAAAAAATAAACTAAAAGAAGAGTTGAAAAGTTAAGAAAATTTCCCAGAAAGCAGAACAGAAAAACTAAAGAGATGGGAAAGAAGAGATAAGAAAATTAGTTTCAACTGAGGTCCAACATCTGTCTAACAGGAATTCCAGAAATAGAGAACAAAGAAAAAGGGGAGGGGCAGGGAGGATGAAAGAAGA